TTTCTTTTTAGTTCTATATATCCAAAGAGATTAACAGATAATGTCATATCAGGTCAAGAACAGCAATACCTTGATAAAAACTACATTACAGTTACATGATGGTTAATTGCAAAGACTGTGACTGAAATCAAATGCAAATAAAAAGGGCATTTAATAAAATGCTAATAAAAAAGCTAAATGAATGATTTGAAAAATGTGAAATCCTCTACTGAGTAGCAAAGATTCCATTTCATGAAAGAGTTCATTTACCAGATGGTCTCTGTCTTTTAATCATGGTTTGCATTATTTAAATTTATTTGCATCTCACAATATCTCTAGTTTAATCTTTAAAGAAACAGTGTTTTACGGGTTGGTGAGACAGTGTTTGTAGAGATCTAAATTGTATTCTTCTTAGAAAATGCTTAATTTTTTCTACTATATATTTTTCTCATCAGCTGGTTTCTTAGAATTTGCCACTGTTATATCAATGACTTTTCATTATTCTGTTCAGGGGTTTGTAAGGCTGTTTGGGTAGTGGCCAGATGAAAGGTGAGATTCACCATGGTAAGTTCACATTCTGTATTACGATGTTCCTCTACTGAAAATTACTTTAAAAGTGTTTGTCCAAAAATATTCTCATTTAAGGTTTCTCTTCCAAATAGCCCTGGGAAAGGTAGGCATTTTTTTAAAAGGCTCACTGATTTGTTAGAAGTAATGTGAGATACTTTAAAAGTATCTGTGGGTAAGGTTCATTCTTTCTTTTTCAAGTCGATCTAATTGGCAGAAAATATGAGAATGCACAGCAGACACACACACACACAAACATATGTATAAGACTTTATGATTTATTCACATATTGTCAGTGAATGCAAGACCAACAACGCCAACGACTATCAGCTCTGGTGTTTGTTCAGATTTTTATACATCAAAGTTCAATGCTTCCAAAAATGAGTAAGTAGCCACATTTCAATGATACTTTCAGATTATTGACTGTAGATTACAGGTTATGGGATTAAAAAAATAACTAATGATAAACATTTTCAACTAATCCTTATTCTTTATCTTTAGTTAGTCTACCAGAGTTCATTTAAACCAGAATTCTTCTATAGTGATTATGCATGTAAAAATACATGAAAAGGAAAACATCTCTCAATCATTGTGTGAAGTATTGGAAATAAATCTTAACAGCTAATCATTATAATTCTAAATTTGATGTTGATCTTTATAATTGCACATTCAATGTACACAGAACAATTGATGGACAAAAACAGCAAAAACATTACACCCACTCCCTTAACAATAATATAAAATGTAACAATATTGTGAAAGATTTTTCATGATTTCACCCAAAAGCAGACAGTAAAACTAAGTGGTCACACATTTTAAAGCAAACCCAGAAACCCTTATACTTGATACTTGAAAGGGAAAACATCTCTCAATCATTGTGTGAAATAATCAGTAAATGTGTTACAAATGATGTCTAGTTTTCTAATTCATCTGATTATCTCATTAGCAGATTTCAGTACACAAAGGCAATTTTAGGCAGGTCACAATTCTGAATGCAGCTCATCCAGGAAATTGATCAGCTTCTCGTATTTGTTGTGGACCTCTTCAATACGATCTATTTCTCTGCCAAACTCCTCGGTTTTCGAGTCGGCGTAAACCTTGGTTTTCTCCAAGAGGGCCTTTGTCTTCTTTAGAAGAGGGTTCACTAGGAGATAGTCATCAGGAAATTCGTTTTTCGCCATTGCCATATACGTGTCAATGAGGTCAATGTATTCACCCAAAAGGTCAGAATTTGCCAAAATTTCCGGCATTTGGACAGCCTGGTGGGGAAAAACGTTTTAAAATGACACTTTTGTACAATGCTTTTTCAAACAGTACTATGTACGGCAGTGCACATACTTTGTAGAAAAAACTAGGCAAGAAAAGAAAGATGCCAAATGATAATGTAGACTATTAGTTAGTTATTATCAATTTGCGCTTGGAGAAATGAAATTCCATAAAGGTTTAACTTGCATGCAAGAAGTCATATGCATAAAGTTTTTGTAAACAGTCTATATCTCTGAATATGTCAGCAGGAGACCCTGAGTGAACTGATTCCATCACCGTAAAGTAA